ATGACAGTGGAAGTCGAAATCGCGGCTCGAGTCTTCAAACATATTTACCCCACAGTCTCTTCCTCAATAACAAACTGACGACGTAAGCGTTGGTTGTGCTCTTCTACCGCACGGAACTCCGACCTCTATGCAGGCCATGTAAGGAAGCTCAGATATTTCGATTTGGGCTACCGTCGAATGATCCTGAAGACGGACTGGCAAATGTAGACATTAGGCCTTGGGTTCCTAGAATCTCCTCATGTATGCAGCACTCCAGCGGCGTTAGATCACATCAAACTTCGATAAGCCATTTCATTGTGAAGTTTTCAGTTAGGCGCTCTCTAAGGCGACTGCTCTATGTCGATATCATGCGCAGTCAAGGTCCGAAGCAAGGACACCCTAAGGACTTGTGTAATACTCCAGGATTAATCAGAACTCACTGCAACCTTTCCTACGGCATAAAGAACTGCTGTGCCAAACTGAAATACAATCATTGAAGCTAGTTTACTGCTGCTGCGTAAAGAGAAGCGGCGTTAAGATAAGACAGTAGTGTGGCAAGAAAAACGCGGCTAGTATCCACCCACCTATCATCACTACCAGTTCCCGTTCAAGGTCCGCATTGTCCTGTAGGCACTCTACCAAGCGACGAGCATGACTTGCAGCGCCATAACATGTTTCGGTCTGGAGAACTCACGGTCCACCTGTTCCTATTTTCGACTGTAACACAGACCACAGGGGATACTGTTCGAACAGCATGCATACTGTTCCCCTGAACTCCCTTACCATCTAACAAAACTTAAGCCTTTAACCTTGCCTACTTCTTCCCACACAACGAGAATTTCCGTCTGACTCTAACGGCCTAACCGTTTGAGGAACCCAAGAACGCCCTTTTACCAATTATCGGCGGCAGCCACAGCCTGTCTGGACCCTTGACCTGTCGCTATAAATGGCGGTTTCTTGTTTTTTTAGTTTTTTCTGTTCTGAACAAAAGAGGCTTTTGTTGCATTTACGAATAGTGGCAATTACTGTCCGCATTGCGGCACAGGCTTTTTTGGTGTACAGTGGTTTTTGAAGAACATTTGAACAGTGTACAATAGTACCCGCCTTTGCACTAGCGTACTGAACGGCGGTTCCCTGGCAGGGACTTAACTGTTATTCATTTAAATCTACACCTCTGTTGGGTAAGATTCGTCCGCCGGATGAAGTTTCTCAAGGTATTTT